CGTTTTCAGCAAGCTCAGTTTCAAATGATGGAAAGGTGTCCCCCGTGGCTTACGAAGCAGTCTTCCCTTTTCATGGCGCATGTAAACATTGGACGGAGACCAGCAAGCGAAAGGGCTTTTCAGTGGTGGTCAGGGAAGGTTTCCCTTCATCCGCGTGTGTCCATTTCTCCAGTTATGCACCTTCCCAATGTTTGTGTTCAGTGTGTTTGCTACACTTTTTTGCTCAGCTGCTCCCAGATTTGACTGGCTGGAAGCTCCTTCGGGCCAGCTTCTGTGCTCGCTCTCTGGAACACCCCGCCCTCTGCCCACCACCTACGCATTCTGTCTGTATTCTCTGCTTTCAAACAAGATGTTTGGAGTGTACACTGCACCCTTGGGTTGACCATTTCTCGGAGCCCTCCTGGTTCTCTGGTGGGTGATGATAAAAGTCAGAATAAAGAGCTGTAAATGATCACAGCTCCTAGGTTAGGGCTTTTACTGATAGTGAGTAGATGCTAAATTCATAGTGATCGCTGTAGTTTTACTCTTCAATGCCCCTGGAGGTTGGGTTCCTAGCCTGTGGCGCTATTGGGAGAAAATGAATCGCTAGGAGGTGGGCCCTAATGGGAAGGAAGTTAGGTCACTGTGTATGCGCTTGTGTGACAACTTGTCTGGGAAAGCGCAACACGCACATCTACTCAACCCAGATAAGGGCCTCATGGAAACTAAGTCTGGATGCCACCGAAGTCCACCAATGAATTGTTTTGGATTACTTACAGGAGTATGGGTTGAGATGTCACCTACAGGGAAAGAAATGACTCAGACAGCTGCATCCAAGCGCCACCTGAGCATGGGTGGCGGCTCACAGAATCTGGGAAACCCACAGCACACTGCACAGCCTCAGGCAGCCCAACAGGTTGCAGAGTTGCTTTTGTCATTGGAATCTCGGGTGTGAAGATTGAGGGGCACATTAAACAATCGCCGGCACTATAAAATGGGATATTTACATACCAAGAAATAGGCAGTGCCAGGGTTTGTGTGTGCACGCAAGTTTCATAATTAGGCATATGTGTTGGGTCAGATTTCTTCTCATAGAATCACCCCCATTAGGAAACATACTGAGGAAAGGAAGACTCTTAAAAGAAAGAAACCTGCATTGTGTTGTCAGCGGCTACAGGTAGATTGGGTTTTTCTTGGCTTTTGGGGTGTCATCCCTGTGTTTCCGGCCTTCCTCCCAGAGAAACCTGACCAGCCAGTTTCCAGACTGACTCGGTTTGGGATGGAACTGCCAAGCTTCGGTTTGCGGCTTCACCTTGAATGTCTCCTCTCCCTGCCGCAGACCAGCCACCAAAGCTTCCCTGGTGTTCAGTTGCCTTGCGAGACCCTGTAGTTGGCCCTTTACTTTGAATTTTCACTACATGGCAGAAGCTGGGGCAAAGCCCAGAAGTTCTGGCATATTCTACATCCTGTTTTCTGTATGCCATGGTATATAGCGTCTGCCAGCACCTATAAACGGTGTTCAGACCACTAACTCCGGCCGGCACATTCTCGACCCCGCGCGCTCTCCCAGCCTCCGCCACGCACCTGTGTCGTTTTCTGTCCGTGTGGTTCAAAACAGGGCATGTTTGGAGTAAGCCGTTCGTGAAGTGTTGAGGCCCTGGCCTCTGACAGCTCGTCTAATCCCCAGCTGTTCTGTAATGTGTAACTACCATCTAATTGCTTTGAGGCTTATGAAGGTTGTGTAACTTGTTCACAGCAACACAGTTGTTGACAGAGCCTGAACAACAGCAGCCTGTTGAGTTCATGGTATGCACCAAACCCAGGCCAAGCCTTTTTTTTTTTTTTTATTTTGCACACACAGGCATAGGGATTGGAAGAGGTTCAGAGCATAACCATCATGGTTGCCCAGGTTTCTGTCCACAAGATCCATATCTGATCTTCTCTGTACCATTAACAGTTGCGTAACAGGGCAATTCCTCTCCTGGATACCTGGGGATGCCCGGTAGGGCCGCAGGAGACAAACTGCCTCTGAACTAGGCCTTGAAGATGAGCTTTTGAGCTGAGGCAATGGCTCAGTGGGTAAAGTACTTGCTGTGTAAGCACTTTTGAGGGCCAGCCTTTAGGTCTCCAGGGCCCACATGAAAATCTGTGGCCCCAGTGCTGAGATGAAGGAGACAGGTAGTCTTAGGGGGGCCATTGGCTAAGTCAGTTTAGTCAAAATGGTAAGCTCCAGGTTCAGTAAGAGAGCTTGTCTTTTTTTAAAAAAAAAAAAAAAAAAATGTGGACGGTGGGGGCTGGGTGGCTCGGTGAGTAAAGTGTTTGCCATGCACCGGGACTGCAGTTTGGATCCCCAGGACACACGCAAATGCCATGTGGGTGTGATGGCCTATGTGTAATTCTAACGCTTTGAAGGGCGACCAGGGACCCTGGAGCAAGCTGGTTAGCTAGACTAGCTGGATTGATAGATGAAGGAAGATGCTTGGTGTCCACCCCAGGCCCTTGCACACACAACACACGGGTCTGCACGTGTGTGAGCATGCACATACATGGTGGAAAATGGCTTCCACACGTGTTCCATGTATGTACGCACTACATACCAAAGATAAATGAAGGAAGGTAGCAGCGTTGTTGTGCATGGGAACACGTGTGAGGACTTGGGGGCCTGTGCAGTTGTGTAGTAGGAGGCTGTGATGGGGGTGGTAAGTGCTACAAAGTTGAGTGCAGGGTGCTGTGGACGGCGTGTTGGGATGATGTCTTCTGTCTAGAGTCCTCGGCAGGAAGAGCCATGAGTACACTTGCGTTTGGGGGCTGTAACTGATGTGGAAAGATGCCTTAGGGTGGGGGAAAGATGCTTTGAGCACAGATGACCGTTGTCCTAGACTAGAGAGCCATCAGTGGGCAACTGTTAGGCTGCACTCGAGCATAGCTGATCGTTCTTTCTTTAAACAAGAACAGAGGGTAAGACTGAACTTGGCTTATGATTGCTATAACTGTGTTACCAGTGATGGTAATGGTCCATGTGTGCCTTTATGCGTATGTGTGTACAGGTGTGTATGTTACGCATAACACTGGAAATATGCCACTCGATAAAAATACCTGGAAGCAATTTCTAATCCCAGCTGCTTAAGATTCCGCGCTCTAATGTCCAGCCCTTTGTGGCGGGACTGTAGGTTACCTCTGAAGATTTACCATTATGAACCACGAGCTCTTGTGTCCCATCTCTCCACTTCCCCGACTCCTGTCCCAGTGTAGCCCAAGCTAGCCTCACTCAGACCACTTTCTCGGCCTGCTGAGTGCTTGGATAGCAGATTCGTGCAGTCACACCTGGCTTGTGCACACAGGCAGATGCAACCAAATTCCCAAGTGCTAATCCTTTGGAACGTAAAAAACTGTTGGGTCAGACCAATTGTGCGTTTGTTTTTGGCGCATGGTTGTTGCCTGTGTCCTCGCCAGTACACTGCGCAGCAGTGACCCATTGAAAAACGAGTCATTCCCTCCCTTCTTACCTCTTACCTGACTGCCCTCACTGAGCTGTGGCAGCGCTGCATTGTTGAGGAAATTGTTGGTATTCCTCCCCAGCTGGATGCTTGGCTTCTGCTTGGCTTCTGGTTGTGATTAAGGTCCCCTTTAGTAAACTTTAGCAGGGTGGGATTCTGTCATGTTTTGAGTCCTTCTCTATACTGATAATTTGGATAATCTTCTGCTTGCTTGTTTTTTTTTTTTTTCAGCATGTGTGTAGTTTAAGTTTATAGGGTGTGTGTGTGTGTGTATGTGTATGTCTGAGTGTGTGTGTGTGTTCACATGAGGATGAAGGCGCCAGTAGTCCAGAGAGGACATTGGATACCTTGTAGCTGACGTTACAGGCTAGTTCTAAACTGCCTGAAAAGGCTTCTGGACCATGAATTTTCTATGTAGCCAAGGCTGGCCTTGAATCCCCGATCCTCTCAGATACTGGGATTATGGGCATGAATCACCATACCTGCTGTGTCTCATGTATTTCCCTAAGGTTGTCTCTGATAGCTGTATCAGAATGTCATCCCTGCTGGGCCTCGTGCTCAGGCCCGTAATCCTGCCTACTTAGGGGCTTGAAACATAGAGGGTTTTCAATTGCAAACCTAGCCAGGTTGACTTTGCAATACACTGCCTTAAAATTTCCTTTGCGGGAGACCAGGAATAATACCTCGGTGGGAGAGTTTTCGTATAGTATGTGTCATGAGGTTGTTTTGGCGCTGTGAAGAGACAGCACCATGACCATGGCAGCTCGTACAAAGGGAAATCTCTAGCTGGCACTGGCTTGCATTATGGCGGGGAGCATGGCTGAGTGCAGGCAGACAAGATGCTGGAAAGGCAGCAGGAAGTGAGAGCCACACTAGACCAGGCTTGAGCGTGTGAGACCTCAAAGCCCACCTCCTGGTGACACACCTCTTCCAGCAAAGGCACACCCACCTCAACAAGGCCAAGCCTCCTAATGGTGCCACTCCCTATGGGCCGGGGGGGGGGGGGGGGGCTTTTTCAGACAGTATGCTTAGGACCCTGCATCCAACCCCTGGTGCTGCAACAAAGAACTTACTTGTTCTTGGGGCAACGCTGTTTGGAATGGATGTGGATGCACCACATTTGACTTATTTCCGTCTGTCCATGGACGCCTGTATGGGCATGCTGCTGTTGTGAACCCTGGTGTGCGATGCATTTTAGCTCGCTGACTCCTGGTCTAAAACGTGTGTGCAGAAGCAGGGCTGCTCTGTCCTGTAGCACACGACTCCAGCTTTATTGGCTGAGGGTGAGCTGAATTGCGAATGATAAGTCTTGACAAGGCTTGACTCTATCAGGCGTCTAAGTTTTCCTGGTGTGTGTGTGTGTGTTGTGAGATTAATCTCGTTGGGTATTTCCTGATAGGGATGGATGGACAGTTTTCTTACATGTTTAGAAGCTTTGTAACACACTGATGACCTTCCTGCTACTGGCTTACCCTTTTCTGAATTAGTGTCTGCAAATAACGCTTGCTCTTGGTATCTCTGCAGAACAAATAGTGGAGAGAGACGAAGGCCCGTACTACACTCACCTGGGATCTGGCCCCACAGTAGCTTCTATCCGGGAACTCATGGAGGAGCGGTGAGTGACGCTGACATCCGGGAGACTGGGGCTTATCGGGTGGAGTATGGGTGCCGAGCGCCTCAGGCCGTGGGGTTGTGCTAGGCGGCACTGGATGGTGGCAGGGTCAGTGTGGGACTCTCTACCTGTTCTGGCTTTGATTCGTCTGTAGATGCTGCCCTCCATACGCCCTCCAGCGCCTCTACCCTTCTCTTGTTCCTGGGGGTGGGGCACTGACGAAACACAGCTGTGTGATGCTACCCATGTGGAGTTTCCTGCAGCCTGGTGTGCTTGGGTAGTTCTTCTGCAGTGTTGATTGCCTCGCTCCCTGTGTTCTTGACATCCTGCAAAGGGATACTTGGGGCTCTAGTTCCAGTCAGGTGGCTTTTTCTTGCTTTGATTTCCTACCCCCACCAAAGTTACTTCGTAAGTGGAGTCTGTCCTGATTTTTCTCCTATGAGATGTTCTGGCTTCATGTTGCACATTTCTCCAGGAGGTCTTGAAAGACTCTGGGGTGCTCGGGGGCAGGGTGCATATTGCTACAAAAGTGGTTTGTTGTTTTTAGGTCAGTTTATTGGAAAAGACTTGAGTTGGGCTATGTCTATGGATTTTTATTTTTGATCTTTTAGTAGTTGAAGACATGGTGAGTTTATGTTCCAAGGCTATGGGGTTATTTAACAGCAACCCCCCTTTTTTCTTTTTATTTTAAGGGATGAAAGGTTTATTCTAGTTTACAATTTGGGGTCCAGTCTATTATGATAGGGAGGCATTGTGACTGGCTTATTGTGAGGTTTCGGACATTACATCCAGAGTTAGGAGAAAGTGTTGAATCTGGGCTCCTTTCTTTATTCCTTCACATAAAGACTATTTACTTATTTGAGGGTTTTGTCTGTTGCTTTGTTTTGTTTAAGACCGGATCTCTGTGTAGCCCAGGCTGTCCTAGAACTCAGAGATCCATCTGCTTCTGCTCTCTGAGTGCTGGGATTAAAGGTGTGCACCACCATGCCTGGCTCACAGAGGCTTTCAGAGCTGCACAGGCCACAGCAGATAATAGTACTGTGTCGCCGTCTGTGCGTGGTGGTGTAGCTCTGGTCCTGTACTTGCAACCGAGTCCACTTGGAGCAGTTGGGTGACTCAGTTTCCTTTGTACAAAACAGATGTCACAAGGACATCCTGTAAGAATGCTATGGACATAAAACCTCAAGGGTGGGTCTCAAGTGGTCAGAAAAGGGTGGGCTCTGTGTGTGTGTGTGCGTGCGTGCGTGCGCTGACGTTCTCAAAATCAATCATAGAATTCTAAATAAAACAAAAGCAAAGGCGACCGACATTTGCTTACGCACGCCGTTTTATGGAAGGCTTAGTGTCTTAGTTTCTGCAAACATGGAGCCAAGTCTCCATAGGTTGGTGGGAGCTGGGCTAAGCCAGTCAGTGCAGCGGGGAATAGGATAGCGGATGGATCTGCTGTAAACTGAGCTGGGTGGAGGTCACTGATCTGCAGCCATCGTTTCCTGTGCCACCTGGGAGCATCTCAACATAGCCGTCAGAAAAGCCCGGTTTTTAGAGACCCATTCTAAACGCAGTCCTGATTGGAAGAGCCCCGCCTGCGCCCAGAACAAGAAACTTAGATCCATGTGTGTTTGTATGGGCCTCCTCAAGCGCCCGCCGCATCTTGCAGACTACACGTTTGGATAATGACTTAATTTTGTTGATTATTTTGTTGTGGTTTTTGTTGGTTGAAACAGAGTTTTAGACAGCCCAGGCAGACCGTAAACGTTCTGTGTATCTGTGTGGCTGACACCGGCCTTGATGTCCTAGTCCTGCCGCCCCCTATCAAGTGCTGGGGTCTGGTCCCCCACACCGAGCTTGGCCGCGGGCTTCCGTAAGGGATTGCAGGGGGAGAGTACAGTGGTGGTTCAGTTGGATTTGGTAGTACTCCTGTGGAGTGGGGGGTGGTGGTGGATGTTAATGTCTTCCAAGATTTCCAGACAGCTTTCTAAGTCTCAGTAACCTTAATTACAGCAGAGTGCGTTCTGAAGAAAGAATCTGGAGGGAGCGATAGTGTTGAGGTTGTACTTTTCCCTCCCTGCTTTAAAAATAACAGCCAGCTATAGATTTCTTCAGGCAGTGATCCAAGGGAGGGACCCTCGGAGCTGGCAGTGCTTATGTTTGCCTCAGCAAATGGCGTGTTTCCACATAAGGACCCCATGAGTCATGGAGCAGGCAGTGCTTGCATCCCCAGCGAGTTGAGAGCCAGGACCCTGGGAGTGACGGGAGGGCTCCCCTTTGGGAGTCTGCATAGGATGAATTCTTCCAGGCTCGGTTCCTAACAACACAAAACCTGTGGTCACATTTTGTACAGCAGCCCGCCTTTCCCTCTTCCCATTGAGCTTATCTTGCAGATGCTTTCATTTCTGGAGCAAGGAGGGAAGCCAGTGAGTGAAGAATTTCTCACGAGGGTGTCGAGTTTGTGACTTGTCCCGGCTGACTTTAGCTCTCTCTTCACTTTTTCTTTGTAGGATGACTGTATTGTCAGAGAGGCCAAAGTCAGGGAGACGCTGGTGCTTTTAGCTTTTGTAAGGCACAGACCTGAAGGAGGGAGCCCAGTGTATCACAGCTACTGGATACGCAGGTCCTGTTGTCGGTAGATAACTGGAGTCAGTTGTCAGCTCCGGTCTGTAGATGGGTCCCACTACCCAGAGCCTGGAGTTCCATCAAGGAAAGGTCCTCTGCAGCCAGCATGCACTGCTCACAGTCCTCAGAGCTTAACGAACACCGATCTCGTTAGTGCTGGACAGCAAACCCTGGGGAAAGTCCTTCACCCTTGAGCAGGAGTCCAAAGCTGCTGAGGGCTCGCAAAGCACAGGCAGGGAGACCTCTGCTGGTGACCCTGGGGCCCCTTCAAGAACCATAGGCCAAGATGTTCGTCATCCTCAGTGATGCTTAAGCTGGTCCTTGCAGATTCGCTTGGACTAAGCCTGGTAATTGACATGATAAGCCAGGGAGCGAGACATTTAAAGAGAAACAACCAAAGCCGAAGTTGGCTATCAAGTTCTGTTCAGGGAGGAACGGGGGGGGCCAGCAAGCGGCTCCGTGGGTAAAGGCACTTGGTGTCAAGCCTGGGCTGTCATCTTGAAACCCTCGGGAGGAAAAGAGAAACAGGCTTCCTCCCACGAAATTGTCCTCTGACCCCCACACATACGCCAAGGCATGCCCTCTCCCCCCAAATGTGTTTAAATGAGAATTTAATTTATATGCATTGATGTTTTGCCTGCGTGTGTACCTGTATGAGGGTGTCTGTTGACCCTGGAACTGGAGTTAGACAGTTGTGAGCTACCATGTGGGTGCTGGAAATTGAACCTGGGTTCTCTAGAACAACCAGTGCTCTTAATCGCTGAGCCGTCTCTCCAGCCACTTATGACCTTTTTAAAAATTGTTTATTCTTTCACATTTCACTTTACATTCCACCCACAGTTCTCCCTCCCACCCATCCTTCCGCTCCCCTCTCCACCCCCCATTCCGCTTCTCAGGGGTAAGGGCTCCCATGAGGAGTCAACATAGTCTGCACAATAGGTTGCACAATAGGTTGGGACAGGGACAGGCCCCTCTCCCATGCATTAAGACTGAGCATGGCCTCCCACCATGGGGAGTGGGCTCCAACAAGCTAGTTCACGTGCCACGTTTGTATTGTATGTGCGCTCTCTCTCTCTCTCTCTCTCTCTCTCTCTCTCTCTCTCTCGTGTGTGTGTGTGTGTGTGTGTGTGTGTGTGTGTGTGTAATACTTCTGGCTGTCCTGGAACTCACTTTGTAGAACAAACTAGTCAGGGACTTGAAGACTAAAGATGTGAGCCACTACCCCTTGGCTTTAATTTTTTTGGGGTGGTGGTGGTGTCGTCTCCAATGAAAACTTAGAGGCACAATCTCACAAGGACAGGACAGTGGAGGAGGAGCTGGCTAGAAAACCAGAGCCTGTGACCTCCGCTCACCCCCCTGTGGAGAAAATGATAGTTCCTGACAGGGCTCCCTAGACAAACCTGGGTCCCAGGCCTGCCTGTGGGGGCTGTCCTGACCCATCCGGGCAGCAAACAAGAGCAGCACCGCGGGGTCCTGCTGCACAGATGCTCAGTGGGGTCTGCAAGCACCTCCTGTAAAGCTGTGCAGCCCTTGCCTGTTAACGTGGGCAGGAGCGCTTTTCCCCTCCCCTAAGATCTGAGTGAGATGACAGCTTAGTTCAGTGTTTGAAAAGAAACTCTGCTCCCTTTTCAGTGAGGGAAACGACAGCTTAAGTATTGGCTGGGCATGGTACATGCCTGCAACCCCAGCCCTTAGGAATGGAAGGTCATGAGGACTGAGTTCCTAGACCAGCCTGGGCTACACAGTGAGACTCTATCTCAGAAAAGGAAAAAGAAAAAAAAAAAAAAAAAAATCAGTGCAGAGTAGAGAAAGCACCTTGGCCCCTGATTTTTTTTTTTTTCCAGACACTTTGTTAAAGGCATGATGTGCATAAGTACATAGAGAAGTCATAGACCATAGACCAAGGGGAACTAATCACGCCAACCTTTGCACCACCAAGCTGCATCCAAGACCTGTGTCCTGGTCCACTTGGTCCTAGGGCATAGTGATGGAGCCCAGGAGATAAAGAATATGGGGTATCTTAAACTGTACACATTGGGGCAGCATTATGCCTTCTGAAATGGCATACTTAAATGTTGTAATCAAATGAATTCACTACGGACTACAAGTGCATTTTTACTTTAAAAGCCTCTCCATGTTGGCCCCTGAGGGATGACGTAGAGAGTGCTTACACTGCAGTCTCAAGGTCCAGAGTTTGGTTGTCAGCACCTACAGAGCAAGCCAGCCATCCTGCAAATGCCTATAATTCCAGTTCCAAGGGATCTGATACGCCCCCCCACCCTCTTCCATGTTTTCTCAGATTACACACTCACACACACACACACACACACACACACACAACACACACACACACAGGATAAGTCAGTCTTTCTTAGAAACCCATGTTGATTAAAAAAAAAATGCTTTAGTCCTCTAAGTGTTAAAAGTGCATTTGCTAAGTTAATTGATGCCCAGCTACAAGTCTTAGCTCCTCAAGGGACACCTTCAGCATTCCCTTCAGAGGAGAGATGCCTTTGCCTCAGCTCCGGCCAACTTCATGCAGAGGGATGTCTGGAAAGACCCTCGGTGAGGTCCACAATGAGCAAAGCATGGCAGGAGCTCTGTCGTCACAGACTGGAAGAGTGTGCAGGTCAGGACGGCCAGTGGCCCTTGTCTACGGAAGATACTGAAGGCCTATTAAAAAGAAAATGGCTTTTATGTTAAGAGATTTACTGACTTCTTCCCTCACACTAAGATCCTTGATGTGCATTGTCAAGCCTGGGAGGAAGAGCTGCCTTAATGTCCAGTTTACATATGTGAAGACTATGGCTGCAAACTCGGGGACCTGGCTACAGTTACGTAGCATACTGCCCGTGTATTCACTGTGCTGCTGTGGCTTGTCTCCTTTCTAGGTATGGAGAAAAAGGGAAAGCTATCCGGATCGAGAAGGTCATCTACACAGGGAAGGAGGGGAAGAGCTCTCGAGGCTGCCCTATTGCCAAGTGGGTGAGTGTTGGGTCTCAACAGCCAGGCTGTGCCTGGGTGTTATTGTCCCCTGAGCTGGTGAGAGGAAATGGACATATTTACCATCATGGGGCCCTGAACCTACGACCCTCATGGCCCCTGATTGTCTTTGTCCCACTTACATGCCAGGACCAGGCATCCTGTGCTGTCAGGAGCTGTTCATCTTTACTCTCACTGTGTGAGACCTGGGTAAGGGCCGTGGGTATAGGAAGACAGGAGCTAGAGATGCTGCTGGCCTAGCCCGTTGGACCCCGCCCCCGCCCCAAGGATTTTGACTCCTCTTTTCTGTGTGAGTGGCCAGTAATTGTGTCCTCTACCAAGGAAGACACTGAAAGCTGAGCTCAGTGAGGCAAGCTGAGGCCCCTGAGCAGGGCTCCAGGACATCTAGTCAGGGAGAACATCACTGACTCAGACCCCCAGCTCGCTCAGCCTTGCCCTGGGCTCTGGGTATCTGGTCCATGTGGAAAACGGTGTCCATGTTCAGCGTCTTAGGCACCCTGGAGGCAAGGTCACAGACCTGGGAACACTAGGCTTAACAGGGTCGCTACTGTTGTAGGAGTTGAGGGACGGAGACTAGGTGAGCCTGGAACAGGGACGTGACTGGGGCCCAAGGAGTGAGTAGAAACATTTCCGGGAGGGAGGGTCCTCGTGCAAAGGCAGAAAGGCTGCATCCCGTTCGTGTGGCTGCCGTGGATGTCAGCTGCACACTCTGCACGTTTCCCTGGGATCGCTCCTTGCCTCTGCATCTGAGTTTAATGAAAATAACTGAACTTAAATTACCACACGCTGCTTGTTTGCAGCACTCCCAGGGCATTGCTGTAGGACTTCTCACCTGGTGCTTCTTAAAGTGTGAGGAAGCAAGTTGCCTCCGCCCCGTGGGCGGGGACTCTTGCAGTTGGAGGTCTAATGTGCTAGGGTGGTAACTACCTCTTCAGAGAACTCAAGCTTGAAAACGATGTTAGCCATAGAGAGATAGTCAGGAGATCCGACCGTAAGTGTAGACAGGAGTTTCTGTCCCGCCAGGTCCTGCAGCCAGTCAGTCCCAAGTAAACACACAGACAAGAGAGGGAATCCTGTTTCCACCCAGCCATTTCAGTTCCTGTCTGTCTGTATAGACCTCTGGACCTCTATGATTAGTTGGCAGCAAGCTCCGTTCTCTGACCTTCAGACAGGCTGGCTTTATTTGAACAAGCAAGGCATCACCACACACGAAGCCTGGAGAACCCTGTTGCGGGGACCTCTGTCGCACCAGCATCCTGCGGGTACTTGTCAGTGCTGACAGTTGGCCTCCCACAGCCCACCGGGATTCCAGCAACATACCAGGAGCCCTGACGCAGTATTTAGCCTTAGCAATACAGTTTAAAAAAGGATAGTTGATTGTGGGCAGGGAAATGGGGAATGGCCTTAGAGCACACCTTAGACAAAGACCTCATGATCAGGGCAGCATGTGTAGTAGCATACAAAACACAAAATACTCTATAAGGTTCTCAGGAAGTCATGACACATGCTACAACAAACAGAACACCTTGAGACCGCACATGATTTCACGTACATGAGGTAGGAGCTTCAAAGTCAGATTAAGAGGCAGGAACTGCAATGCTGAATGACTTGGAATATAGCTTAGTAATAAAAGTGCTTGCCTAGAATGCACCTCAACCAAAAAAAAAAAAAAAAAAAAAAAAAAAAAAAAAAGACAAATTGTGAGGTCAGCAAGATAGCTCAGTGGGTAAAGGCTCTTCGCATGGGCCTTGTGACGTGAATTCCATCCCTAGGGCTTACTAGGTGATGGGAGAGGACTGGATCCTAAAGGTTATCCTTTGGCCTGCATGGGCGTGCACAGACACACTAAATAAACTCAGTAAGAGGGTGATCTCAGGTCGGGGAGCACCAGAAGGGAAGAGTTGGAGCATTGCTGTTTTATGATCAAACTTTGATCTTTATATTTGGAGTTCTAGAGGAAATGGTAGCCGTGCAACATGGTGGGTGAGCTTAAGGTCACTAAATGTACACTAAACACTGTGTGTATTTACCAAGTAACAGAGTGTGGTACTTACGTCTTTAAAATAGGAATCTGAGGGCTGAAATGGCTCAAAGGTTAGGAGTTTTACCACTCATACAGGAGAATCCAGTGCCGTTTCTGGCCTCTGGTGGCTCTGTGTTCATGTATAACTCATGAATATGTGCACACACATACATACATGTAACTATTCAAATGAAGAAAACTCTTTAAAGTTTTTGGCAAAGTACAACGATGAACACCTTTAATCCCAGCATCTGAGAGGCAGAGGCAAGCAGATCTGTGTTTTCAAGGCCAACCTAGTCTGCATCTTAAGTTCAGGGTTACATAGTATCCTGTCTCAGAAGGGGCAGCATGGGGCTGTAAAGCTCATCATTTCTGCTTTTTCTCACAAGCTGGGAAAGCTGACGAAACATGCCCCCACTAACCCCTGGCTGCATCGGGGCCCGTATCCTTGTTGGCCTACCCAGCCTCTCATTTCCGTGTAACCTGCACGGGGTCAGTGGCAGCTGTCTGCAGCCCGGGTTCGTCCCTGAACTTCACGTCCACAGAACTGTGGGTTATGTGTTGATTCTGCACGTAGCGCCTCAGACTGTTCTGATAGTGTTCCACTCCAAGTGCAAACACACACAGATGCACCACGTTCTCTGCAGATGCTCTGGGGACACACTTCCCTGTGTCCCTGGCTCACAATTTTACTTATTTTTACTCTTAAGCTTGCTTGCTTGTTCACAAATGTCTTTTTTGTTTTGTTTTGCCTTCAAGACGGGGTCCCTGGGTGTAGCCCTGGCTGTTCTGGAACTTGCTGAAGACCAAGCTGGTCTTGAACTCAGAAATCCACCTGCCTCTGCAGTGCTGTGATTAAAGGCGTGCACCAGCACACTTGGTGGTCACGAGTGTCTTAGACTTTATCATAATTAGTTTTTATTTTGCTGTTTAAAAACCTTGTTCTTCCTCTGATACTGTGTCCCAAAGACCCACAACCCCAGGTCTGTGGAGTAGTGTGAGGGGCATATGCCATGCGGAGCTCTGTGGCTTCTGCAGGCTAATAGCTCAGTCCTACGTCTCTGCAGGTGATCCGGAGAGGCACACTGGAGGAGAAGCTGCTGTGCCTGGTGCGGCATCGGGCCGGCCACCATTGTCAGAATGCCGTGATTATCATCTTGATCCTGGCCTGGGAGGGCATCCCTCGAAGCCTTGGAGACACCCTCTACCAGGAGCTCACTGATACCCTCCGGAAGTACGGGAACCCTACCAGCCGGAGATGTGGCCTCAATGATGAGTATGTGTCGGAAGGAGGGGGCGGGGGTGGGTGAGACTACAGGACCCTGGGGAGCAGGCACTGGAATGCTGGGCGGCCCTGGGTTCTAGCCCCAGGCCAACATTAACCTATCTCTGTTGGATTTTTCCTATCTTTTCATTGGGATGTGTTTAGTTTCATTAAAGTTATCCTTTAGGTGTATATTTTGGAGGGTTTTTTTTTTTTTTTTTTTTTTGACGAGACAAGGTCTTGCTATCATAGCCTTGGTTGGCCTAGAACTAGCTAAGTAGACTAGGCTAGCCTTGAACTGCGGGAGATCTGCCTGCCTCCACCTCCAGGGTACTGGGGTTAAAATTGTGCTCCACCACCCCCAGCAGGTTTGGAGGATTTTAATAAATATCTATAGTAATTAGCCCAGTCAAGACCGAGAATCGGGGTCCATGAGGTGGCTCAGTGGGTGAAGGAAATCGCCACCGAGCCCAGGAGAGAATGGCTCCTGCGGGTTGTCCGTCAGTGCCCGCAATGCCTGCACATACACATGCGTGTATGTGTGCAAGTGCAAGCACACAGCTCCCCTGTGCCCTCCACCTGCAGACCTCCCCTCAGCCCTCAGCCACGTGCCTCTCCTGTCCCTGCGTTTGCCTCTGCAAGAATGTCACCGGTAGCCCCGTGACCAGATGTGTTTCACCGAGCGAGTGTGACCACCCAGGATAACCTGTGTTAGGGAACTTGCAAGAGCTGTGGGGTGGAGGGAGGAGCCCTTGTCAGCACGGGCTGGTGGGACCCGGCGCTCTGCAGGGGCGGGGCCGTGTCAGCAGAGGTCACATGTGTGTGTCAGCAGAGGTCACATGTGTGTGTCAGCAGAGGTCACATGTGTGTGCCTGGCTTGTCTTGTGCGCTGCAGCCGGACCTGCGCCTGCCAAGGCAAAGACCCCAACACCTGCGGTGCCTCCTTCTCCTTCGGTTGCTCCTGGAGCATGTACTTCAACGGCTGCAAGTATGCCCGCAGCAAGACGCCACGCAAGTTCCGGCTCACGGGGGACAATCCCAAGGAGGTGAGCGAGGGGAGCAGCGCCAGGCCCGCCCCGCCCCTCCCTCCCTCCTACCCCTCCGCTCCTGCTCCTCCCTCCTGCCCCTCCCTCCTCACCCTTGCCCACCTGCACAGCTGGTAGCCACCACACTGATGGGTAGGAAATGTATGCTGCCTGACTTGGGATTCTTCAGCAGCCTTACGCTGCTGAGAAAGTTTGTTAGCAGGTGACGTGAAAACTGAGGACTGCTCGCTGCAGGTCCTTACGTGGCAGCTTTAAAAAATCCCTCTGAACACTTCCGACGCCAATGCAGTTCTCCTGTGTGAAAGTGACCCGGTCATTTCTGTGTGGGACATCTTTCAGGGTCATCCTGGGAGGAAGGACCTTCTCTGTGGACGACCTCTAAGTCATTGCTGGGCTTGGGGGAGGTATCCCATCCCCCCCCCCAGGCATTCATACAGATGCCTAGGCCCTTGCCTGCACGCTGGAGGCCTGTCGTGGCGCACTGGCTGGAGGCCCACACATACAGGAACAGGTTTATAGTGAGGCCTCTCCATGGCTCCTCATCCCGTTCTCCCTTCCGGGGCCTGGGTCTTACTGCAGCTTCCCCCGGGGTGGAGGGTCTGTGCGTGTCAGCTGAGGCCATTTCTCCACGGCCTTACTATTTCCTGTGCCCCGTGCTGCAATGACCACGGCAGGGTGGTCTCAGGATGAGCAGGCTCTTTCCACCTCATCCTCCTGCATACCTGGAGGGCTTCCCTCTCTGTTGAGGACAGGGAACATCCACTGGGCGGCACCTCCGTGCCCCATATAAACACCTCCCTGGCTTTGTTCTTCATAAGTAAAATGAACCGTCTTTACGGATTAGAGTAATGGTCAAGAGTACCAGCTAGTCTTCGAGGTGACTGAGTTCATACCCTAGGACCCACATTGTGGCTTACAGCCCATCTGTAACTTCAGCTCCTGGGGAACTGCGGGCACCTGCACACACATGCCACAGGCACATGCACACGTGCGCACGCATGCACACACATGTGCCATAAACACACATGCATGCACACATACACGCCATAACTACACACACATAAATCTTTTTTCCAAATTCAGAACTTTCCCCCCAAAAAACTTAGACTATTTTGTAAGCTTAAAATACTCTAATTTGTAAGACAGGACCCCCCTTCTCCTAAAGGGGCAAACGTGCCTGCTTCATCAGTGGGTTGAAGAGCCCAAGGGCCTAAGACTTGTCAGGATATGAAACAGTACGGCTTGGCTTCTCCGAGAGCCGCCATCTCTGGTGCTGTCACTCACCGTGTCCCGGGCACTGGCTGTTGCTGGGTTCGCACATACTTCAGGACCACCCATACCCCCAGACATTGTCATTCAGACCTGAGTGTGGCTCACAGGGAAGGAGGTGGGGCTCCTCCCAGGCCTGTGCTCCCCTGGCTCGTGAGCCTCACCTTGGAGCTGTGTTGCTTTGCGCCCACTGTGCTGGTGGCAGCGTCCGGACAGCAGCAGCCAGTGCAGTCACCAGGCCCTGACACAGCGTCGCATGGGTGGTGTCGCCTGCCTGAGCTGTGACCTCAGCTTCTCGCTATGCTCTGTGTGAGCGGCTGCTCCCTCCGCGAGAGCGGCTCTGTGTTCATGATCATGGCCTCGAACCCCCGCAAGCCCCCTGTGATGACTATAGTGTAAGGCCCGAGAGGGAACAGAAAGGCTGGCGCTGCTTGTGAGAGCCGCTGCTGGGGTAGGTACGCAGCCGCCCTGCGGGCGGGCCTTCCTTTGTGCTGGAGACATTTTTGCTGTCTTGTACAGGAGCCACGTGGAGCCCTACCTTGCAATTCATCCCTACCTTGCATTTCAGAAGGCTGCAGCAGCCAGAGCATTGGGTTTGTCTCTCTGATACGGGCTGGCAACAGGCTCTGGGCCGGCTGTGCGTCTCCAGTACGGTCCTGTCGGTTTGCTTTTTCTCTAACGTGGGCACAGGCACCCACACCTGTGACCCACGGTATTCAGCTCTGAGAGCGGCAGGCCTGCTGCAGCTAAACAGGGCTGCGCGGGATGGACATAGCAGCTCAGCAGCCAGGGTGACTTTTCCTGGTGAGCCTCAGTTTCCCCAGCTTTAAAATGGACGCAACAGAGGAACACTTCCTCCTTCCCGGTGGTACCCAGCAGTGGTTCCGGTGGGGCTCGTTTCTGGCGGTAAGTTTCCCAGGCAGGGCAACTCTGATGTGCCTAACCGTTCTCTGCAGGAAGAAGTACTCCGGAACAGCTTCCAGGACCTGGCCACTGAAGTTGCACCCCTGTACAAGCGGCTTGCCCCACAGGCCTATCAGAACCAGGTAGGTACCTTTGCCTGTCATGCGCCATTTTTTACTCCGGTTCCCTGATGTTAGAACGTGCGGCCTGGCCTCCCTTGTGTTTTGAAGGAGATTCCGCCTAGACGTCTCCTGTGAGATGTGTGAGATGCTTTGTTTACACAGCCTAACCCATCCCCTCTCCCTGGTTGTCCTCTGGCCTGACTTCCTCCACAGAGGTCTGAGTTCCTGTCCTCCTAGGCAGACACTCGAGCTGACCTAGGAAGAGCGAGTCCTACAGCTCAGGTCTTCTCACCTGGAAGACCTTCCCTCTCGTGGCCCGGGTTCACAGGACAGCTGTGACCGTTAACCTGCTCTTCCCTGAGGCGGAGACGCAGGTGCAGCGTCAGGGCTAGTCACTCAGGCCTCCCAAACAGCTGCCCTTGGCCTTCACAGGTGACCAACGAGGAAGTGGCTATCGACTGCCGCCTCGGCCTGAAGGAAGGGCGGCCCTTCTCAGGAGTCACGGCGTGCATGGACTTCTGTGCCCATGCCCACAAGGACCAACACAACCTCTACAATGGGTGCACTGTGGTAAGGAAGCCTGCGTGTGTGGAGTCACAGCCTGAGTAGTGTAAAGCTTCTGTTCGGTACACAAAGCGACACAATGAAAACAGAGAGCAGAGCAAGATGGATAAGTCGAGTTACCTTTGACTAAACAAAGCTGGTCCCAGAACAGCAGTGGGGTGTGTCTGTGTGTCTGTGTGTCTGTGTGTCTGTGTGTCTGTGTGTCTGTGTGTCTGTGTGTCTGTGTGTCTGTGTGTCTGTGTGTCTGTGTGTCTGTGTGTCTGTGTGTCTTGTGTGTCTCTGTGTCTCTGTGTCTCTGTGTCTCTGTCTGTGTGTGTCTCTGTGTCTCTGTCTGTGTGTGTCTCTGTGTCTCTGTCTGTGTGTGTCTCTGTCTCTGTCTGTGTGTGTCTCTGTGTCTCTGTCTGTGTGTGTCTCTGTCTGTGTGTGTCTCTGTCTGTGTGTGTCTCTGTCTGTGTGTGTCTCTGTCTGTGTGTGTCTCTGTGTGTGTGTGTCTCTGTGTGTGTGTGTCTCTGTGTGTGTGTGTCTCTGTGTGTGTGTGTCTCTGTCTGTGTGTCTGTGTCTCTGTGTCCGTCCGTGTGTGTGTGTGTGTGTGTAAAACCATGTGCAGTTGGGCATACATGCCATAAGTCAGGCATCTGGGTGGTCCTTGGATTGCATGTAGTGGCTAGTGGTGCATAATGCTCCAACTGAAGCCTGAATATAAAGATGACTTTATATGAATTATAAAAACTGAATAGTTTTAACTACTGAAGTGTTCTTAAAGGGATGAATGTGGTAGATCTGGAAGACAGAACCACAGTGTGAAGACAGTTGGAGGGCGCCTGGCAGTGGCTGGTAGGGTGTCTCAGAGCATGGATTCCATAGTCACACATGCCTGTAATCCCAGCACGCAGGAGCAGGAGCAGGGTGATTATGGCCACCTGAGGCCACAGCGTGAAGTCTTACCTGAAAAACCAGAGGGCAGACATGATGCTGTATACCTTTAGTCCCAGTGCTTGGGAGGCAGAGGCGAGTTCAAGGTCAACCTAGTGTATATAACAAGTTCCAGGGCTATATAAGTCCCTGTCCCAAAAAAAGGGTAAATTTTATTAGAAGATTTATGTGCAAGAAATGTTTGTACTATATTCAAATACGTTGTTTAAAAAACTATGTATAATGTCCTGCTTCGTTATCCAAAAGTATTATATACGTGCGTATGCATGTAATGTTTACAATTTTTAATTTTTGAGACAGGGTTTCTCTATGTAGCAGTCCTGGCTGTCCTAGAACTCGCTCTGTAAAGCAAGCTGGCCTCCAACTCGAGAGATCACCTACCTCTACCTCCTGAGTACTGGGATTAAAGCGTGTGCAACTACTGCCCAGCTACTTTTTTTTTTTTTTTTTTTTTTCTTATTTTGGCTGAGGTCACTTTTAATAAAAAGAAACATTACCTTGGAAGCAAAGGAGATGAGTGTTCAGGACTTGGGAGGGGGGAGGCGTTATTAGCCGGTGGCTGTGGCCCCATGCAGCAGCAATGGACTAAAGGCAAAAGCATCTGCCACTGGGCATAGGAGATGGAGAACCGGAGCCTCTGACAGTGCCTCCCGGCTGCTGTGGTGTTAGTTTTTAGAACCTGAGTGGTCAGGAGAGTGTGATGGGACAGGTGGATGGCTGGTGATAGGACTCATGTGGCTGCCACACATTTGGAGGCTCGGGCCCCCTCTCCCCAAGCCCGGGCTCCAATGCAGTGCCTTCTCTACCTGTGTGGGGCAGGTCTGTACCCTGACCAAGGAAGACAATCGCTGTGTGGGCCAGATCCCTGAAGACGAGCAGCTGCACGTTCTGCCCCTGTACAAGATGGCCAACACGGATGAGTTTGGCAGCGAGGAGAACCAGAACGCCAAGGTGAGCAGTGGGGCCATCCAGGTGCTCACTGCTTTCCCGAGAGAGGTCCGGCGCCTGCCTGAGCCTGCCAAGTCTTGCCGCCAACGGCAGCTAGAAGCCAGGAAGGCAGCAGCCGAGAAGAAGAAGCTACAGAAGGAGAAACTAAGCACACCAGAGAAGATCAAGCAGGAGGCTCTGGAGTTGGCGGGCGTCACCACTGACCCGGGTAAGCAAGGGGGTGACGAGGACAGGCGTGTGGGCCCTGTCCTCAAGGGGTATCACCCCACCTCACATCACACAGGCCACTGAAGAGGGCAGGTCCCGAGGCGGGCGGTTCACTCTGTCCCTCAGGAAGATGCTCTTTGGAGGACCGGCGTTTGGCTTCTCCAGTGTGCTCTCACTGAGTCTGGGGGGTGGGGGGAGACCGTTATTTCGGGGCCACCATAGGTAGGAAGTGGGCTCTGAGTGTCTTGAGTGCCCATTCTCCCCTTGCTGTGTTCCTAAGCCCACGCTTGGGATAACGAGCTTCAGTCAAAACTAAGGCATTTTCTGGGTCGGGCAGTACGGTGATGGCCGAGGACATGCCTCTCCACGAGCTATCGTCTCACCTTGGGGTCCTTGTGGGGTGCCCAGGGAGCAAGCCCAGGCTGGGCTTGAACTTACCTCAGCACCTCGTCCCTTCCTGATCTGCAGAGAGAACAACTCTCGGGCAAGGAAGGAGGTTCGCATCTCCCCTGCAGCTAGACATTGCCAGGCTGTGGTGTCTGCCTCCTTTTCTACCTTGCCTTCTGCCCTTCCCCAGGCCTGTCTCTGAAGGGCGGATTGTCACAGCAAAGCCTGAAGCCGTCCCTCAAGGTGGAGCCACAGAACCACTTCAGCTCCTTCAAGTACAGCGGTAACGCGGTGGTGGAGAGCTACTCGGTGCTAGGCAGCTGCCGGCCCTCCGACCCCTACAGCATGAGCAGCGCATATTCCTATCACTCTCGCTATGCACAGCCCGGCCTGGCCTCCGTCAACGGCTTCCACTCCAAGTACACACTTTCCTCCTTCAGCTACTACGGCTTTCCATCTAGCAACCCTGTCTTCCCCTCCCAGTTCCTGGGTCCCGGTGCCTGGGGACATGGGGGCGGCGGAAGCAGTTTTGAGAAGAACCCAGACATCCATGCTCTACATAACAGCCTGACCCCGGCCTACGGCGGTGCTGAGTTTGCCGAGCTGCCAGGCCAGGCTGTTTCCACAGACACCCACCACCCTGCCCCTCACCACCAGCAGCCTGCTTACCCAGGCCCCAAGGAATATCTGCTACCCAAGGTCCCCCAGCTCCACCCGGCATCCAGGGACCCATCTCCCTTTGCTCAGAGCGCCAATTGCTACAACAGATCCATCAAGCAAGAGCCGGTAGACCCTCTGACCCAGGCTGAGTCTGCGCCCAGAGACTCCGGTAAGATGGGCAGAGCTCCCTTGCCCGAGGCATCTCAGAATGGAGGACCCAGTCACCTGTGGGGACAGTACTCAGGGCGGAGCATGTCCCCCAAGAGGACTAACAGTGTAGGTGGCAACTGGGGAGTGTTCCCTTCCGGAGAGAGCACCACCATTGTTCCAGACAAGCTCAATTCTTTTGGGGCCAGCTGTCTGACCCCTTCACACTTCCCAGATAGCCAGTGGGGACTGTTCACTGGTGAAGGCCAGCAGTCGGCCCCCCACCCTGGGGGACGGCTTCGTGGCAAGCCATGGAGCCCCTGCAAGTTTGGGAACAGCACCTCAGCCTTGACTGGTTCCAGCCTGACTGAGAAGCCATGGGGGGGTGGCCCTGGGTTCCAAGACAAGTTGTGGAACCCTGTGAAAGTGGAGGAGGGGAGGGCTCCCACGCCAGGGCCCAGCCAGCTGGACAAGACCTGGCAGACCTTCGGCATGCCCCTGGGCTCCGGTGAGAAGCTGTTCGGAGCCTTGAAGTCAGAGGAGAAGCTGTGGGATCCCTTCAGCCTGGAGGAGGGGGCGGCTGAGGAGGCCTCCAGCAAGGCGGTGAAGGAAGAGAAGGGCGCCCCAGGAGTGGAGGAGGATGAGGAAGAGCTGTGGTCAGACAGTGAGCACAACTTCCTGGATGAGAACATCGGTGGGGTGGCTGTGGCCCCCGCCCACTGCTCCATCCTCATCGAGTGTGCCCGGCGAGAGCTGCACGCCACCACGCCACTCAAGAAACCCAACCGCTGCCACCCCACCCGCATCTCGCTGGTCTTCTACCAGCATAAGAACCTCAACCAGCCCAACCACGGGCTGGCGCTCTGGGAGGCCAAGATGAAGCAGCTGGCAGAGCGGGCCCGGCAGCGGCAGGAGGAAGCTGCGCGCCTCGGCCTGGGCCAGCAGGAGGCCAAGCTCTACGGGAGAAAGCGCAAGTGGGGGGGCGCCATGGTGGCTGAGCCCCAGCACAAAGAAAAGGGGGCTGTCCCCACCCGGCAGGCGCTGGCCATGCCCACAGACTCCGCCGTCACCGTGTCCTCTTACGCCTACACAAAGGTCACTGGCCCCTACAGCCGCTGGATCTAGGTGCCAGGAGCCAGCGTACCTCAGCGTCGGGCCCGGCCCGAGCTGCCTCTGGTGCTTTTGCCCCTGTGCCCGGGGGCGGGTTGGGGGTGCAGAAGTCTCTCTATATCTACATATATGGATATGCCTATCATATATATGTATTTATGGTCCAAACCTCAGAACTGATCCGCCCTCCCTCTCAACTTCCCCAGCACTTTGAAGAAGAAACTACGGCTGTCGGGTGATTTTTTTTTTTTTTTTTTTTTTTTTTTTCCCCTTCGTGATCTTAATATTTATATCTCCACATTGTCTTTATTTTTTTTTCCCCTTGCTTTGAGGGGCTTTTGTTTTCTCTTTGTTTTTAAAACTTTATCCTTGTATATCACAATAATGGAAAGAGTTTATAGTGTCCTTTCACAAAGGAGCGTAGTTTTAAATTCCATTTAAAATGTATATTTATTGGGTTTTTTTTTTTTTAAGCGACAATAGTAATGGTTACAGATGGGCGGGAAAGACCGTCAGTGCTTTCTGCCGGGCGAGCCCAGCCTCCTGGGAGCTGCAGGTCCCAGCCATCTGCATCCCCACCACAAACCAAGGTTAGCACGTAGCCCTGGTCTATCCTTCCTTCCCACAGGCCGGGGAGCCTCTGGGACCACCCCGTTCCCCTGTGTGGAATGGGAGAAGCTGTAGACATCTGGGGGCCCCCTGGAGATGCTGGTGTTAGGTGTCCCCAGAAACCAGGTTGGAAGTAGACAGCTTCAAGCTTGCTAGTCTCCACACTGAATCCTCTGTCCGTTATTTATCAAGTCATACGATGTCCTGGTTCGCTAGGCAGCACCTCACGCTGGAGCAGGAGTCGAGAGGCTCCTAGGAGCCCTTCCCATCTCATTGATGAAGCCAGTGAGTAACCGGGCTGAAGGAAGCTTAGTGGCAATTTTTTTTTTTTTTTTAAATCGCCCCAAAGTTTGTTGATACTGAGAAAGGGCTACTGTATCTTTGGAAACAAGAAGTTGAACCCAAGCTGTGAAGAGCCAGCGTGCTGTGCGGTGCGGTGCTGGAGCCTGGTGCTGTGCCGTGTGGTGGTGCCGTGTGGTGCTGGAGCCCTGGTGCTGTAGTATTGTGTTGGGAGGTTCCTGACTCTCAGGGCAGGTGGCATCCTGCCAGAGCTCAGCAAGCCAGTGTGATGGCAGGTCACTCATCGTCCTTATGCCTGGATCTTCACATGGGACAATGGTGCAGTCCTCCTGGCCCTCGCAGGGCGTGGCCTACACTTCATTGAAAGTGCAAGCGTCAGGCGTTTTTTTCAACAGGTTGCTAATGCTTTCCTCCTCCGAGGAGGCCAGTTCTCCATTGGATATTTCTCTCCCCTCCTCCTCCACCTCCCATGATGTATCACACCCGTTCTAAAATCCTGGTGCATTCATGTAGGTCTTTGGAATTTGAGTGTTGGTGCTTTAATTTCTGTGACATTGTCGAGAGAGGTTGGGCCCTTAATGGCTGGAAGCGGAGCTGGTCTGCAACGATTCATGGAGTGTTTGTTTTCCCGATGTTCCTCTGCTGCTCGTGTGGACAGACGTGTGTGGTGAGTGTGGGGTGGGGAGGGCTTCGTCAGGACACACACAGAGTAGCAGCCAATGCCTGAGACAGCAGTTACCAAGTAGTTCTGGCCAGGTGTGGTCTTCATAAACTGAACGTAGCAATCCCGTGACAATGCTGAAGGCAAGTCCCGAGTCCCCAAGCTTTGCGGTGCCTTGTGCCAGAGCTGAGAGCCGAGCGGCTGGGCGTTGACTGAAGCCCTTCGGAAGCGCTGGCAGAGAGTGGCTAAAAGGTGTCCTGAGCATTTTTGTGGTCTGGTTTTAAATGTAAATAGTGAGATTTTTTTAAGCACTTTTGCCTAGATTTAAACAGCAACTTGAAAAGAATAAAAAGTACATTTTAACATGTAATTGTGGGAGATACTGTAAATAGTAGCTGAATATTTAATGTGCTTTGTCAATCCACCTTTACCATATTCTGTAAAGTTGCAATTATTTTACAGGACAGAAAAATGAAATATTATTGCTTTTGAAATAAATACCCAAGAGCTTATCAGGATTTAGAATTATTCAGAATTCAGATTTATAGGAAGGAAAGCCTCTGACCTGTTTGACAAGCTAAAGGAGTCAGAGTCTTTGAAGGCGCATGCTAATTTTCTAGTTTTGAGGGAAAGTTGGGTCCTTTAAATGCTATTTTGCTTAATCGCATCAGTACTTTTACGCAGGTCTCATCTGACTCCGTGCTTAGGTAGATGCGGGGGTGCCTTGAAAAACTTCATTTTAAATAATCTTAAATAATGATATTTTACAAAGCATTTGGAGAATGTGACCGTGTACACGGCCCATGGAAGCCCCAGGTTGGCTGTTGGCTTGCAAGGTGTCCCTAGCGTGGTCCAGGTGATTCTGATGTTGGCAGTGTGTGGATCTCTGACGTGTATTCAGTATGCTCCAACCCTCCTCACCCTTTGGTAGTAAAGCCATTAGATGGAGAAACCAGTACAAGCTAAAAAGCATGTGACGTCCATCCCCCAGGCCTGCACAGCCTTGGCTCATCAGCCCGAGGCCAGGAAACAGGCTGCCGTGAGGTGAGGCATGAAGTGTCCCGTGTTGGCCTTCCAGGGCCTAGCGAGCACTGTTTCAGGGCTCAAGTGCTGTGGCTGTGCTTGAGCCCAAGCTGATTTTCACACACTACTTGTATAACCTACCTCAAATCTGTCGTTGAAACGAGCATGCTTTAGATGTGTATGTAAGACGAAACTATGCACAGTTCTATATCCCCCACCCCTTGCTGCTGAAGGCTTCTTAAAGAGAAAAATCAAAATTTTTATTTTTTACTGGCACTATCATTTTTTAAGTCCTGAAGATGATTGACAAGACATTTTTATCATGAGAAGAAAAAAAAAAAAAAAAAAAAAAAAACTAAAGCCATTGCAACTCAAGAACCTGACAGCATGAGCGAGTCTTAAGAGTTATAGCGAGGGAGATGATGCCACTGGAGTCTGCTCCCAGTGTGCCCATCCATGGCCACAGTCTACATGCAGGTGCAAGCGTTTGGTGCCCCCTCCCCCCCCCCCCACACACACACGCACGCACACAAGCACGCACGCGCACACACACATTGCTTTTTGCTCCCCCTTCCTGCTGTCTGCACGAGGACTCCCGAAGTTCTAGCCCAAGAGATTTCCCTTTAGGGTAAGCATCATTTTGCAGCGGGTTCCCACAAAGTAACTGGTGCTAGCTGGAGGAACCGCCTCCCCTGAGGGTGTCACATGGATTGGAGGGTTCAGTTTGGGGGGGTCTGGGTTTCAGCAGGGCCTAAGTGCCCACCCCCCCCCAGCCCTCCTGGGTGCTGTTGGGCAGCGTGTGAGTGAGGGGGTCAGTGTCAGAGCGAGGAGAGGCGGCCTCAAGTTGTCACAGCGAGGCCAAGCTGGCGGAAGACGGATAGCTCTGTCCCCGACTGCCTCAACCAGTCTCCATCCTTTTGTTACTGGAGTGTGTTTTCTGGACTCGGGAGCATTCTTATGAATTGAAATGGTCTAATAAAACGGTGCTACGGTGTTTCAATGTGACTGACCCTGATCTTGTTTCCCTGAGGTGCTATCTACGGTAGAAACCACAACCAACCAAAAACAAGGTGGGCTCCGTCTCTCAGCTTCCCTTTCCTTCCCTTTCCTTGACTTTGGTGCTGTCTTTGTAGACCTCTGTTTGCTGTGCTGCGTCTGCTCCGAGCAGTGTGTTCTCGCTTTGTTTTGGTTTTTTGTTTTTTGTTTTTTTTTTTTTTTTTTTATTGTTGTCCCCCTTGGTGGCCAAAGCTAGGCACTTGGAGACGGCAGCTTGCTCCTTATAAGGACAGACGGCAGTGGCTTGCCTGGCTGGGTGAGTGCTGTAGGTTTGTGCTATATCTTCTCAGGCCATATTAGAAAGGGGGCGGTGGCTTTTAGGAACGAGAGTCGGGGTCCCTGGCTCTTGCAGTATGGCAGGTATTCCCATGTGGCCCAGGGTGCTAACCCCAGAGTGGACAGGCCGAGGTCCAGGGTGCGAGGGCCTTCACCTGGCCCCGGCAGGCACGGCATGGGCAAGCCTTTGGTTCTTGCCGATCACTGGTAAGCTCCTGGTGCTGAGACTAAAGGCAGGTGCTTTCATTATCCCTCGATGCCACCAAGGCCGCTTTTGGTTGGTGCTAAACTTCTCCTTGTCCATGTAAGCTGATGTAAGTCTTTGAGAACTCGACAGGAAGCTCCATTTTCACATCATTCGCTGTCACAATTTTTCTTTTAAAAAAATACCTCAAAAACAGGACATTGTGACAACTTAAGATTCCATGAGGGTATGATTCCTGAAGGTTGTCCATTGGATGACTTCCTTGACCTTGACTCAGCTGGGGGTCGTTCTCTCAGCTCATTCAGCAGTTAATGGCAGAGCTCCTAAGGGAAGGAGTGTGGTTGGATTTTTATTTTTTTTATTTTATTCTAAGTTTTGCTTTTGAATAAAATGTGAATCTCCTTTGCCCATCTCGTCAAGCTTTCTGTCATGGTTGCTGTCATTTGAAAACTCCCACACCTGGTTTTATCTGCTGTCCCTACTTCACCACATACCCTGGACCAAAATAACACATTTGGAGGTGCGTTCCCCGACCCAGGCTGGAAGCTCCACTCCGCCTGCCATCTTTGCGTAGTTGCTTCCAGGAGTGCGGCCTTCCCGCAGCATTGCCTGAGAGGGCAAAGCCATAGGCTTCCCACAGACTCCGGGCTCTGAGCTGTGTGCCTACACGTCAGCGAGCTGCTTGCCCTGCCCCCCCCCCCCCATTCGCTCTGTTCTGAAATCAGGGATGTCTTCTGTAGGCTGTCATTCATATTCTCCTTGCTCTGACTACCCATCATTCAGAGGAAACCCTCACTCTTCATATGGGGACTTCAGATACTGATTGGCTCGTCTGGATATCCCAAATTTTCCTGAGTCCAATAATGGCTGGTTTGTTTTTCTTTTGGGGGCGGGGAGACAGACAGGAGTGAAGTCATTTATTTCCTTGTGTTTAAAGAAGCAAGGACTGGCTGTCTCAGCATACTAACGCTTTAGATTTGATCTAGAACCCTTGTAGCTTTTGGATGTGTTTTATTTCTTATCTCTTTGAATTCCTGTTTGGTTACCTGGCTTCCAATGGAGGTGAACTTAACAACCATACTTGAATATTCCGTCTTGACTTTGTAAACTGTGGCTACTTGAAATGAAGTTTATCTGGGGTTGATGGATGAATGGTAGGTTTTTGCAATGTCTCAAGGCAATAGGATGTGTATTATTAAACTGTAGATATCTTAGTACAGTAATTTTATGCTGATAATTTTATTTTGTATAATTTTTACCTTTTTGTTAATATTTTCCTTCCACTTTATTGGTTTGTCTCCTGAGCTACCGCCTTCCTTTCCCTTTCCTTCTCTC